CTGTTTGGCCATTTATCACCCGTCACCCACCCATCCATCCCCCCATTTGCCCACAGATGCAGCCATCTCCCCCGTCTCCTGTGCCCCTGCCCAGCCACCGTCTGCCCAGCCCCCACCCTTCTGCCCACTCTCCCAGTGTCCATCCATCTGGCGCCAGCAGGTGCTCAGCAAATGCCAGTGGAAGGAATGAGCCGTGAGCTTCTCCACAGTCTACTCAGTAACCTTAGGAGAAAGGGAAAGAGCAGACCGCCCGTGCTCTCCTCACTCACCTCCATACGAGGTCCGCCAGGTGCCAGTCCCTGACGAAGCAGGGACAGCAGACTCAGAGCTGGGCACTTGCCCTTGGGGGACTTGCAGTTTTGGGGCGAGGGGTTGGTCAAGCGACCACACGCACAGATGCGTGAGCACTGCCGCAGCAGCATCAGAAGAGGTCTCCGGGCCTGTCCCAGTCCTGAGCGGTGTCTGAGCTGAGGGCTCCTGCGGCCGGGCGCCCCAAGTCCCAGGGCTGGGCGCAGCGGGGGAGGGGCGAGTGAGGCCTGGGCGGGAAGCTGACAGCACGCTGACGGGCAATGAGGAACGGGGCCAGGTGAAGGCCGAGAAGGGCCGAGGGCTGGTGTAGGCCTGTGGGAGGCTGCCGCAGGAGGGCTACTGATTTAAGCCCAGCCTGGGGGATCTGAGGGACTCAAAAGATTCGGCCTCAAAATAAGAAAATAAAAGAGGACTGTGGAGGTAGCGCAGTGCAAAGGCGCTGGGTTCAGTCCCTAGTGTAATAATAATAATAATAATAATAATAAATAAAGAATAGAAGGCACAAAGCTGCTGCCACCTGTGTGGGCTAGAAGAGGCCACAGCTGCCCAGCTGGGGCCACAGAGTCAGAACTCACCAGGCAGAGATGCTGCCTGTAGTGGGACGGGAGGGAAGAGAAACAGAGGCAGACTTGGGGTGCTTGTCCTTGGTCCCCCTTGGCTGGCCTTGGAGGGAGTCAGAGTCCAGGGAACCAGGAGCTGAAAGTCCAAGGCCTCACCTGCAGCCCAGGCAAGGAGAGGAGCAAATTCTGCTCCAGGTAGAACCACCAGGCAGGGATGGAAACCCCAGCGCCACGCCAGGTTGCCGGGCCAAGCCTGCGGGGAGCTAGGCAGGGCCAGGGTGGGGACCTGGCCTGTGGCCTGGCAGCCAGGGAGCCTCGCGAGGCTTAAGTGTGAGGTGACCACAGAGATCTGTGCTGTGTTGCCAGCTGCGGGGGGAGCCCAGGGCCCAGCCCAGGCACTCAGTGTCCCCGGGCTGTTCCTGTGCTGGACCCATAGCAGGCGGCAGCTCCAGCAGCAGTCACGGAGTGCACACCCTCCGTCACCGCTTCCTCTCTTAGGCCTCCACCCGCCCTCCTGCTCCTCAGACTCCCCTGGGCCCCAGCTGCCCACACCTGGGCCCCAGTGCCAGGCACGCCAGCCTGGCCTCTGTGCTTCCCGCATCGCCACATCCCTGCTTTCGGGCTTGATCAGCACAGACGGCCCTCTGAGTCTCTCTGGAGGGCGATAAAGGCACTTGGGGAGCAGCCAGGAGCCCAGGGGCCTGGGGCATGTCCTGTGTCCCAGGGCCAGAGCCAGAGCCAGTCCTTGCTTCCCAGCAAGAAGTCAGGGCAAAGTCTGCAGAGCCCCAAGTCCCCTTCCTGGAAGGTCGTGAAGCAGAAGGCTGAGTTCCAGTCCCTGGGTCAGGGAGCGCCTGTGCCTGGGAGGCAGAAGCATCTCCAAGCGAAATGAGCCCATATGGGATGCCTGTGGAAGGCCCGGGGAAAGGCGGCTGGGGCAGAGACAATGGCACAGCTGAAGTCAGAGGCAAGGTCATGCAGCTCAGAGCGGGCTCCAGAGCCAGACAGCCAGGCTGGAATCCCAGACCTGTGGGTTGGAAGCTGTGTGGCCCTGGGAAGTAGCTTAGCCTCTCTGTGCTAAATTTCCCCATCTGTGAAGTGGAAATTGTCTTTGTGTACTCATCTCACCAGACGCTGGATTACTTGGGATGATGCCTGCAGGTCCAGATCAGACCTCTGAGATCATCCCAACCCGATCCTCCCTCGAAGACGCCTTTGCTGCTGGCAGCTGGTGCAGGCAGCCTTCATCCCCTCCTCCTCCTCCGACCCAGCCCTGGGAGGGTGGAGCGGCACCAGAGTGGTGTGCGCCAGGGACTGTGAGCTACTGTTCCTAAGGAGCCTGCCCTCTGGACAGCTGGAAAGTTCCCCATCACACGAAGAGCCGGGAAGATTGGAATTTAAAAATGTTTCCCCTTTTAGAGTGAGCCCTGCCTGAGTATTTCTGGCTTGTGAAAGGAACACAGTTTCAGAGCCAGGGCAGAAAAACCACATGTGCGTGCATAGCCCAAGGAAAACACGGGCCACCAGGACCTGTGATGGCAGCCTGCGGGGGCTACGCATGTTCAGGTGGGCGGGGAGCCTTGCTGGGAGCCTGCCAGGCCAGGCCAGCAGCTGTGGGAGGTGCTGGGGGGAGGACCAGGCTGGGAACCAGGGAGCCCAGGAACCATGGTGGCGGCCAGGGTGTGATCCGAAGCTGCCCAGTCTGCCGCAGAGCACGCTGGCACCCGCCCCAGGCAGCAGCCCTGCTCTTCGGTGTCTACAGGACAGAAAGGCATTGTGTGTTTCCTTCCTTCCTTTTTTGTTTTGGAGACAGGGTCTGTGTAGTTCAGCTGGCCTTGGACTCACAAGGCAGCTCACGCTCACAATCCTCCCGCCTCAGCCTTCTGTGTGCTGGGGTGACAGTTGTGTGCCACCACTCCTGGCTGTATTATGTGTTTCCTAGAAAAGGCATAGACCCAACACTCAGGAAAAAGCCACTCCCGATGTGAGCTCCAGATGGTGACTCCATGGTCCCCCACTGGGTAGGCACAGCACGGATATCCATCCATCAGGGGATCACTGTACAGCCCCAACCAGGACAAAGTGCTGCTACCCAAAAACATAGGGCTGGCGCTGGGGTGCAGCGTGGGAGGGGGCGCACTCAGCACCCAGGAAGCCTGGATTCTAACCCCAGCACCACAGTACAAAGCAAAGCACCCCTGAGAAGACATAATGGAAGCAGAAAGTTGGACCCCAACAGCACGTGTGACGGTCGTGTACCTGCACACCAACACGGCCTGCACTCGCTCACGCAGGAGCCAGCGCCAAGTACTGGAAACCCTGCAGAAGGCAGAAGCAGCCAGATGGCGGGACCTCGCGCTGCATGAGCAGCATCCGGGGGGGACAGTAACAAGGGGGCTGGGTGTGCAGCAGATGCATCCAACAAACCAACTTGTGCCCCCAAGCCTGTGGCCCCAGGACTTGTTTATTAGAATGTCGTCGTGGAGTGCAGGGTGAGCTTTGTCCTTTTAGGTCTTGTCATGAAATACCTACACAGTGAGCGCCTTTGCTAAGTGCCTTTACTCGTGGGACACAGAGATTGGCTCTGGATCAGTGGTGCTGGTGCTGGGGAGGGACACCAGCACAGCATGAGCACAGGTTCGTGGTTTCTCCCTGGGGTGAAGAAAATGGTCAAAACTAACTATGTTAGGGGCTGCACAACTTGGTGAATGCCCTGGGTGGATTATGTGGTCTGTGGCTGATGCCCCAGTACAGTGGCCAAGAAAGAAGTGTGGAGCTAGAACTCAGGGTGTCTGCTGCCCTGGCTGTGAGCTGTCACTCCTGGCAAGGGCACAGAGAAGCCTGGGCTGTACGTGCACCCCAGGAGCTGGACACGTGCACCTCTAGGTGGCCCACAGGGTATCCCACAGGCTTGGGAGAATTAGGGAAAGTTTCTTAATAACCCAGCACCCCATGAAGCGCTAGACGCATGCTTCAGGGCCACTGTTTGTCCCCATCCACGAGTCCAGCAGCAGCCCAGCAACTGCATAAATAACGGGAGGGAGGCAGCTGGCAGCTGGGCTTGGAACACACTCCAGTGACTCAGAGAACAGCTGGAAAGAATCTGGGGCTGCTCACTTCCCAGCCCCCCGTGCCAGCCCAGGCAGAGCTCCTATGCCTGGGCTTGGGGACCCTGGGCCGAGTGTGGTGGCCGCTGGTGGGGCTGTGGGCAGGTCCAGAAGACAGCCAGTGAGCCCTGAGCATTCGCCTCCCTGGCAGGGCCCAGCCAGGGACAAGGACGCCTTTATGGGGAAGGATCAGGCAAGGCTGGCCTGCAACAGGGTGGCTGAGAGCGTGGCGCCCGGCCAGGATGCCCTGACACGGCCTAGCAAGGAGGGATCTCGGGATGCAGGCCACCGAGGCACGCGTTTGCCGGGTGAAGGCGCTTAGCCACAGTGCTCATTTTTTAGGTGTTTCATGATGAGACCTAAAGGGACAAAGCTCATCCTGCTCTCGGCGATGTTCTAATAAACGAGCACTGGGGCCACTGGCTGGGGGACACAAGTTGGTTTGTTGGAAGCATCTGGCGCACACCCAGCCCCCCCTTGCCCACTCATACCACACTGTCCCCATACCCCTCTGAGGCTTTGAAGTGCCCCCACCCCACGGCCAGCCCTGTGCAGAGGAGCCAGGGACGAGCGGGTCTCAGAGGCCCTGGGATTTACGTGGAGTGTCTGCTGGTCCTCCCCGAGCAGCTCAGTGCCACGATCGTTTATCAAAGGCGTTTTACGAGGCCCTGAAGTTCAGGCAAAATCCTTGGATTTTGAGAGAGGGCGAGCCGGGTGGGGGTGGCAACTCTCAGAGACAAACACGGGGCCCTGCGCTCCTAGATTCTGTCAGGCTAAAGGGGAGCAGGAGAGGTTTTAGGGGATCCAATTCTGCTCAGAACCGCATCCCATGCACTGATCTTTAGTGGCACAAATACAAGCTGTGATTTTTTTCAACAAGGAACTCCACAGTTTATGACACGTTTCTGCCTACTTTGAAGCCCCAGAGATTAAAAAAAAGTTTCCCTCGCCCCCATTCTCGGAGACCCCAGAATCTTAAAAAAGGGACGAATTCTAAGACAGGGACACCAGAGCCACAGGGCATACTCCATGTTTGTGTTTAACGAATCAGCACAGTTGGTGTGTGAGACACAGGAAACCTCGCGGGCCCTGGAGGCTGCCCCCGTCTCCTGAGAGCCGCTGTGTGCCTCCTGGAGCCTCAGTCTCCCTTCAGTGGACAGACTGCTGCCCGCCAGGCCTCCGTGTACACTGCCACGAGCTGCCAGATGCGAGACAGTCCCCAGGCCGAGGCCTCCATAAATCCCAGGGCATTCTTTTTCTTTTTCTTTTTTCTTTTTTTTTTTCCTTTTATTGTTAACATTACATTCTTCCTGAGAAGGATATATTTTTGCCAGTCGCCTGCCATGTTTGGAGTCTTTCTGAGGAGAACAGAGAGGCGCTTGCTTCATTCTTAGGCAGAAAAAAAAAGGCAAAATAGGGCAGTCAGATGATAAATTTTGTTTTTCTGGTCCCCAGTGCGCCGCCAGAGGCCAAACACACTGCGCACGCTGCTGTGGGCAGGCGGGGCGGGGCAGCCCAAGGAGGTAACTGTGTCCTGGGAGGGCTGCCAAGGCCAGGCGGGTCAGAGGGAACAGGAAGAGGGCAAAGGCCCCGGGAAGAGGAAGTCGGGTCACGGGGCTGGCGAGCCTGGAGCGTGGGGAAAATTTACTTCCAATCTGCTGGCTCTGGGGAAGAGGAGAGGGGTGCAGGAGAATCCTAGGGGGCAACTGGGGACCGGGTCCTGGGACTTGGGGGCCATGCTGGGTTGGGGACAGGGTCAGCATTCCTGGACACAGTACTGATGGGCCCCAACCCTGGATGGCGCCCTGTGAATCTGGCAGGGCACAGGCAGAGGCCTGGGGGAAACACAGGAGACATATGAAGACATGTGGCTAGGGGGACTGAGAGGGAGCCACCCAGGCGGGGAGGACCGAGGCCTGGTGTGCAGCCCAGACAGCTCTGTGGGCGGCTGTAGGTCCGAGGTGCACAAGGCTGCCCACCAACGGGAGGAGAACGGACAGGCAGTGCCTCACATGGTGTCCTCCCATCTCCCTGGGTGAGCGTGGCCTGTTCCGTGTCTGGGCAGGAACCTGCCAGCTCTGCTGCATGGGACACTGAGAACACATGGGTGGGCTCAGGCTGCTCCTGTCCAATAAGATGGATTTGGGGTGAAGCAACTCTGATCAGCGGGCACAGCCAAGGCATTTGAGGCCCACCAAGCTGGGTAGCTGGGCCAGGCCCTTTTCTGCTTCTCGCCTGTGAGTTGGGGACGTAACAGAACCTTCCAGGGGCTGGTGGTACCTCATCAGGGACTTGGTGCCTGAGAGGCAGGCATCTGGCGTGCGGCTGTCACTCACTCAGTACCCGCGAGCTCTCCTGCTGCTTCCCAGGAAGAGAGGATTCTTCAGCCTTTCTGTCTCCATTCCTCCTCCTCCATGGCCAGTGGCTGTGTGGTTTTGGTATTTCTCTTTCCCAGCTGGGCAAACAGTGTCAGAGAGGTTAAGTAGCAGGCCAAGGGCACAGCACTAAGAACCAGAGGAGCTGCAACATCAGTCCTGCATGTCTAGCTGTGTCCCCTGGCCATCTACCCACAGATGGCCACTGTCACTTGCCTTCTTCCTTCTCTGATCTGTGCAGGGGACGTTCCTGAGTCATTGGTCACTGAGAGAAAAGGAAACACCCAGGTAGACACCTCCCACTTCTCCCTGCTGGCCCCCTCACCCATGCTGGCACAGGCTTGCACATGCATGCATGCATGCACACACGCATGCATGCATGCACACACACATGCATGCACAGAACTATGCATACAAATGTGTGCCTGTGTGCGCACAGCACATACATACATCAGCACAGTATCACATGCACACACATTTGCACACAAGCACACACACACACATGCAGGAAGCTTTTTGGAAGGAGTCCTGCTTACCCAAGAAAGCCCATCTCCTTTCTGCCCCGTGGACCCTGACCGTCCTCAGGCTGAGTGTGACCTGACGCAGCGGCCCCTCACTTAGCAGAGGTGGCAGTGGCACTATACAAAGCACCCACCACGTGCCTCACCTCTGTGCCTGGGCACTCTCTGCTGCTACTGAGTGCTGTCCTCAGGTCCCAGAAGGTGGGGCCCACTGAGTGGGCTGCCCAGGGTCCCACAGCTGGCCAGGGAGGGCGCAGGACTGGGACCTGGGTGCATGGAACCTGCACACAGAGCCAGCCCTGGCTACACAATGAACAAGACAGCCTGGGTTCTGTCCTCTGAAGAGGGCACTGCAACCCTTCGGGGCAGGAAGACGAAGAGCAGACACACTGAGGAGGACCCGACTCGGGATGACTGGAAGCCTCTCAGGATATGGCTGTTCCCCAGACCATCGAGATGGCCCCTGCACTTCCCAGAGGGTGCTGGAGCACGGGGACAGCCTGTGCCAGGCCTGTGGGGACCCTGCCTACTGGCACAGAGACCTGGCATAGTCTTCTGTCTGGGTGAGACCCCACAGTTCTCTGACTGGCGGCCACACAATGAAGCCAACTTCATCCTTTAAAGTCTCCCTAATCAGTCCCTCTCACTACGTATTAAAAATGCCAGGAGCCAGGCAGCCCCTCTACTCCAATCTTGCAGTCAGTGTGCTGAGCCAGCACTTTCTTGGGCCCCACAGAGGCCCCATGTCCCACGGTCAGCCACGCTGATCTTCCTGTTAATCCTGGGACTGTGAGTCCTGGAGTATCCACCAGAGACTCCCAGGAGGGGGCCCTTCCCCTTCTTCCACATATTTATAATGCACGGTGTCTGTGCCAAGAGGAAGCCCTATTCTATCCACCAGAGAGCGAGAGGCCCGCCCAGTCCATCCTTCCCAGGACTCTGGGCTCCAGCTGCCCAGTTGGGACAGCTGTGCACCGCTGAGAATCCAGAGGCTTGAATCCTGGAACTTCTGGAAAGGTGTCATTTCACAGACGGGACACATGAGGTCCAGAGAGGTCTCCCAGGCTAGTCAGAGCAGAAAGGCTGGGGGAGGGGTCCTGGCTGCGAACTCACTACTGTTGGCTCCATGTGCAGATGCTGATGTGGACCAGATGTCCGCCTCCTGAGGCTGCAGGGTCGGACGGGTAACGTAATAGCACCGCCTCCTTCCCATCTGTGCAATGGGCTGACCACACTGTGGACACAGGCGGAGTCAAGGGGGATGCTGTCCAGATTGCCCTGCGCTCCGTGGGTGTTTCCCTGTGTTTAATGCAATGAAGTTTGTGAAACAGCAGCTCCCTGGGCAGCTCCTGTTAAATGATGTGAGCAAAGGGCCCAGAGAAGGAGAATCCCCTGCCCTGAGACACTCAGGACCCCTTCTATCTCTGCCTGTGACCAGGTGGCCTTGGGCCTTGGTCAGTCGCGGAGGGGAGGGGTCCGTGAAGACTCTCCAGGGTGATGCATTCACCAATGGCTGGAAAAAGCCCAGGAAAAACTTCCTTCTGTCTCTGAAACTGGGGCCCCAGGCTGGGGAGAGGTGCTGGACCGGAGCCACAAGGGTCGACCTTCCTTACCTGGCTCCTCCCCCGTCCCGCTTGACCTCTGCTGAAAGACCAGCCTGGGCCGCTGCCGCCGGTATCCCAGGTCCCCTGAGACCCTGGAGCCGTGCGCGCTGGAGCGGGAGGGCCCCTAATTGGGGCCATGAATCACGGCGCGCGGCCGGGGCTGGACACAAAATAGATAGAGGCGCCGGCGAGCCGCGGTGCGCAGTGAGGGACGGCAGGAGGAGGAGGAGAGGGCAGGAGGGGGAGAAGGAGTGGGGGAGGGAGAGCGAGAGAAGGGAGGAGAAGAGGGAGGAGGAGGAGGAAGGAGAGGAGGAGGAGAGGGAGGAGGAGAAGGGGAGGAGAAGGAGGAGGGAGGAGCAGGAGAGCCGGCGGAGGAAGAGAAGGGGAGGAGGAGGAGGAGAGGAGGAGGAGGCGGGATCCCCTCCCGCAGCCCCGCCCCCTCCCCGCTTAAATGACCCGGCCTGGCCGGCGCCGCGCTGCACATGCGGCCGCCGCTCGAGCCGCTCAGGCCTCTGAGGCCGCCGCCGCCGCCGCGTTCCGGGC